CCCGACAGCTACGCCTGTGGCTTCTACACCGTCATCAGGTCCATCGCAAGGGGCCTCCCAGAGTCGATACATTGCTTCCTGCTTCGGGAAGGACCGCCTTGATGTGCGATTGGACCATGTGAGTGCCTCGGCTGACATGGATTTGCTATGGAGCGCGGGGGTGACCGCTGAGAAGTTCTTTCCCAAGGGTTCGCTGAGCTCGGAGGATCAGGAGATGATTGAAGGGGCCGAGCCCGTGGAGAGCTTTGATTCTGCTCAAGTCCTTCTGCAGGGGCTATGGCCATTGTGGACCACTGGAAGCATAGGTGGTCCAAGCAGCAGGAGGATCTGGTCCGACTGAGGGGCCGAGTTCAACCCCTGAGGGACGAAAACAAAGTTCTGAAGGAGGAGAACAAGGTTCTTAGTGCTGCCCTTGGTGAAGCGAAATTACAGGGTGCCAAGCTTCGAGTTGCGAGGGGGGACCTTGCGAGGGTTCAGAAGTCGCTGGAGATCGCCCTGCGCTCCAACGAGAACTATGCCTCCCAGGTGAACGAGCTGCATGAAATTGCCGCCGCACCTGACCAGTTTCTTGGAAGACGAGGTGACATCTTCCCGTGGTCGAGTTTGCTCCTTGGAGGATGAGGTGACCTCCCTGAAGAGTGATCTGGTGGTTGCGGCTGAGAAGCACCTCTGTGATGAGGTCGTCCTCGGCGGCAAAGAGGAGGAGGTTGCCGCTTTGAGAGTGGAGCTGGCAAAGCAGGAGGCAGAGAGGGCGGTGTTGGAGAAGAAGCTTGAGGAAATTGAACGATCTATTATAGTTGAGCATAAAAGAGGTTTCCTCAAGGCAGCTCGCTAGGCAAGACTCCTTGCGCCGGGATTCGACTTCTCTGCCATGCACGTGGAGAAGGTCATCCGCTTCGGGAAGCTTGTAAAGGAAGATGACGTCGAGGACGGCTCCAGCGAGGATGCCTCTGCGTAGGCCAATTTTGTAATGGCCTGGTTTAACTTTCTTTGCTTTATTTTTCTTTTTTTTGAATTCAAGTTTGGAACTTTGAAAACTTTGCTGTATATATGTGTAGTTTTTGTCTATTCACTGTCGCGCTTTTCTTTACCTTTGCTTTTTGGCTTGATTTTTTTTTTGCTGTTTGCGCATTTTGAGACACACTCTCCCAAACTTAGAACCTTGCTTGTCCTCAAGCAAAAGGTAATTAATCTAGCAGATAACAAGCAATGCATGTGAGTCAAATTCTCTCCACGGGCTCGGCCCCTTCAATCATCTCCTGATCCTCCGAGCTCAGCGAACCCTTGGGAAAGAACGTCTCAGCGGTCACCCCCGCGCTCCATAGCAAATCCATGTCAGCCGAGGCGGGTTCGCTGAGCTCGGAGGATCAGGAGATGATTGAAGGGGCCGAGCCCGTGGAGAGCTTTGATTCTGCTCAAGTCCTTCTGCAGGGGCTATGGCCATTGTGGACCACTGGAAGCATAGGTGGTCCAAGCAGCAGGAGGATCTGGTCCGACTGAGGGGCCGAGTTCAACCCCTGAGGGACGAAAACAAAGTTCTGAAGGAGGAGAACAAGGTTCTTAGTGCTGCCCTTGGTGAAGCGAAATTACAGGGTGCCAAGCTTCGAGTTGCGAGGGGGGACCTTGCGAGGGTTCAGAAGTCGCTGGAGATCGCCCTGCGCTCCAACGAGAACTATGCCTCCCAGGTGAACGAGCTGCATGAAATTGCCGCCGCACCTGACCAGTTTCTTGGAAGACGAGGTGACATCTTCCCGTGGTCGAGTTTGCTCCTTGGAGGATGAGGTGACCTCCCTGAAGAGTGATCTGGTGGTTGCGGCTGAGAAGCACCTCTGTGATGAGGTCGTCCTCGGCGGCAAAGAGGAGGAGGTTGCCGCTTTGAGAGTGGAGCTGGCAAAGCAGGAGGCAGAGAGGGCGGTGTTGGAGAAGAAGCTTGAGGAAATTGAACGATCTATTATAGTTGAGCTGAGCGTGGTCTGTCCGGATTCCGGGCTGACGTTGTTCAACGCGTGTCCGGGATGACCCTTATAATGTCAATCCGGGCTGAGAGCTCGGGTACGAAATGCGGTCAGTACAAAAGTCATGTTAATGTATTTGAGATATAAATTGTGTATTAGAAAATCTATTTTTGGAATCATGAATTGAATTGTAAAATTAATGATCAATAATAAAACATAACACACATTTAAGTAAATATAGGATTTCTTATCAAATTAAATGATAATGCATTATAATAAATGCATTTGTAAGTTTTTTAATTCTTAATATTTCTATTTTTACAAACTATATCCATTGTCTTTTATTTGAGTGATAACCTCAAAAATCTCTTTCGTTCATTTTTCAATTCCTCACCAAACAATCAAAGTTATTTTTTTTTCGTATTTAGTTTCTAATAGCTTGACAAATATTTCCTTATCATCATTTGAAATTCTTTTACACTCACATTTATCTTTTTTCTAGCAAGATGTTATCCTTGCAATTCCACCCAACACACATGTGAACAAAACTAAGATTTTACTTGAAATGTACTTATTAAGGTGACACTTTCATAGTATTGCAATGTAATATCGGACACCTTTATTGCTTGACTCATTCTTTAATAAAGTTCACACAATTGACATAAATAAGGAACACCAAGCAACATACAACCAACAGAGAACACCAACAATTACTACAATAGGATCCATCAATCAGTGTAGCAAGAGAACAAGAGACAAGCAACCAGGAGGAAGAAAACATGGACCACCACAGCAATGACCATTTAGCAACACATAAATGACCAACTATTCAACCAGTACCAAGAAAGAAGAAGGAACCACCACCACACAAACAAGACCAACACTCAGCCAGGAACGGAAACAAAGAAGAAAAGAAAATGATACCAACACCATACAAACATGAATTGTGAAATTCACCCAAAGAACATAATTCAAGTAATTTCGACGCGATTCTTGTGATTTGATCTATGATACAGAAACATAAATAACTCACATAATTAGTACATTAAATTATTAACTACCATGATGAAAATAAGTTTATATTGCATATAAAATTCATATAGACACGATGGTTTTTTTATTAATAAAAGTTTTTTAATTAATAATATACTAAAATAAACTTTTTTTTTTGTCATATATTTGAAATTAATTCCATCGTGTATTAACCGTTACCTCTCCTCTTACCTAATTAAAAAAAAAAACACCAAATATATAACAAAAACTCATTTTTATACACATTAAAAATATATTGCACAAAGTCAGAATGAAAAATTAAACAGCCTTGTCAAAAAAAAGAAAAAAAAATGAAAATAGGTGTGGTGGGAATTGGAGTAGGATTCAAGTTTGGTTATCCATTCGAAAGTTGCATATGCGGAAGCAGAAAGTGCAGTAGAGAAATGGTGGCAATGGGGTTGGCAGCACAAACCCGCACACAGTTACAGTTACAGTTAGAGAAACACGTGACAGAGGGTTTTGGTTCAAAATCCATGGAATTGAAATGGGTAAGGCGAAGAAGAACCACCAAAACCTCTCACACGAAACCACTCTTCCCAATTTACATTTCCACCGACCCGTGCCACGTCGATCCGCACCGTCTCCGAGACCTATTTGCCGATTGCAACTACTCTACCCGACCCGAACCCGAAATCGTGGATATACGCAAACTCGGCGTTGCTCTGTCTCATAGTGCCGTGATTATCTCTGTCTTCTGCAACCCCCAACATGTAAACGCCGTTCCCAATCACAATTCCCCAATTGCCGATTTCTTCACGCCGGTTTCTCCTTCTCGCGACCAATTGATCGGCTTTGGCCGTGCCGTTTCCGATTATGGCCTCACTGCTTCTATTTACGATGTCATGGTAACACTTCCAAACGTTCCAAAATCAAAGATTAGTTAGACTTTTCAAAAATACATATTGGAGAATCAACTATAAAGGATAAATAAAATAAAATTTCCAAAAATTAAATTAAATTAGTTTATGTATAGGGTAATTTGAAGGAAAAATATATTAACTTTTTGAATTATTTTTTTAATTTAAGCTAATTTTAGTTTAGCAAAGAAGTTAATTTATGTTTTTCACTTAGAAATTCTTTTAGAAAATTTTATCCAAAACAAAGCTTAGTGTATTAGTTAATGAGCATGTTTCAACGTGGTTCAGTCTCTTGCAGGTTATTCCTTCCATGCAGAGAATGGGAATTGGTCAGATGATAGTTAAAAAAATTGTGAGGTATGCAGTAAACCGTTTGTTCATGAGATTTGACTCTTACTCATAATGTTATTGTCGTCGTCTAGTTCTTTGTATAGCGGATTTCCTTAGAGTGATTCTTTAATTTTAATTACATTAAAGTCATTTTGCGGTAGAGATAACATACCATATATTATCGACATAAAATTTTAATTTTGATAAGAGAAAATAGCATGTGCGATGAAAGTTTAAAGAGTTTTTTTTTTATCCAATCATAAATTTTTATATAAATTTATTAATTTTTATAATAATTACTACTTATAAATCATTCTAGACAATGTATTCTGAGACGGTCATACTTCTACGATATCTACTTTAAAAGCATTCCAATTATAATTGATCACTTAAGTCTCCGGGTATTAGCATTGTTACCTCTTATCATTGATCACATGCTGCTACATTCTCCTTTTTCTTGGCCATATACTTTGTATTATAATGGTCACTTGCTATTTTTCCATTATACATAGACGCATGAATAATCAAATGTCTTATATGACTACATCCTTTTGCAGAATGCTTACAAGTAGAGACGTCTACGACATAGCAGCCCTTTGCTCTGAGAATGAAAGGTTGTTCACTGTCCTCTAGAGTGCCTAATCTTTTATACCTTTGTGGACACCACGTGACGTTCTCAACTCTTGTCAGGTTATTTTTTAAGGCGTGTGGATTTGGAGACGACATTTTGGGCTCTACTACCATGATGTACACGAGAACTGCTCCATTAACATTCCATGAAGGGGAATAGACAGTTACATACTTTCATGTGCAAGCCTTGCTATTGTTAATTCCACCTCTTATTGAGGGACCTACGAATCTTCAAGGACAGTAATGTAAAGAGTCAAGCTACATTCTGTAAACAATTAGCAACAACTAGATTGTTGCTTGATCAGCTAGAGGAGGTTCGACATTGCCATTTTTTTCGTCATTCATAGATTCATATTCACAATTCAAGTGATAGATAGGTAAAATTTGTAATTGCAAGATTTTTTGTTCCACGCTTTCAGTGTAAACGTGGGAAATGTTATGGCTTCTGGAAGACCACATATTTTGTACAGAGCACATCTTAATACAGAGTAAACTGCCAAAATTGTCAGTCCTTCTCAAATCAATATCTTGTAAAATATGTCTTTATAAAAGACTAAAGTGGTCTGCCAAATAAAGATAAATTTGATACCTGATTTGTCTCTTTGAGAGACTAATTTGATAAAATAAATACTTAGAGAACTATTGTAGAAGTGTTTGTACTCTATGGCCAATTTTTCTGACTAGTTAATTTTTACCTTTTGCCTTTGAGTCAACCCACCTATGAGTTTAGAAGATTCCTGTCTGCCTGTGATGAGCTTAACAAGGGGGGGAAAAGTTAGCAACTTGGCATGAGGGTACCCCCTAATGGCGTTTTGGTATAAAAAAAATTCTGATATCGAAGTAAAGTATCCTTTGAAATACCGCAAAGTCGTTCACTTCTTTTCCTGCGCAACCCTTATCCAAAGAAGCTTACAGGAGACAACATCCTTCAACATCTCATTTTTTCTTTGCTGCACTTTCTATGGGGATTATATGGGTGGAGGTCTGCTTGATATCTGCTCATGGGCTCCAGCATTCAACCTCACTTTGGAAACGTCAATGGTTTGCGGTTGGGTGGATTGATTTTAACAGCAAATATTGCACCAAAGTTGTTGATTCTGGGAGTGCAAATCCTGTATGGAGAACCACGTTTTTCATTCCTGTTGATGACTCATCGCCAAACATCCAAGATTTGGCACTGAATGTGGAAGTTTACAGTATCGACCCCATATTTTTCAAGGAAAAGCTGCATGGTTCAACAACAGTTTTTCTCAAAGAGTTTATTGTCAAGCAGGTAATGAATTATGAGGTGTCTAAGCCTAGGCAACAGGAAGTTGGAAGCTACCAATTACGAAAGAGGAAATCCAGCAAACCAAGAGGATTCATTGATATTTTGATTCGTGTTTCTGATGAAAAGAAAGAGTCAAGTTCCCACTCAGGTGTATGATCATTTCATATTTCACAACTTATCACCGTAGCCATTTTTCTGCATTTAGCATCTTATTATGTTTCTTTACTTTCAGCGAGCTCTTATTTCAGTATACTTCTAATGGGTTTCCTAATTTGAGAGGAAGTTGAGTATGATTTAGGTTTACCTCTAGCCTTTTTGGAAAATTCTTGATCTGTTTCTGTAAATTTGTTCCGTAGGTAACAAGGAAGGGATTTTGCCGTCAGATGATGGCGATGGTACTCAATTGACCGTTGAGGAAGGAGTAAGGCAAGCCAACGCGCAGAAGCCTCAAGCTGCAATCCATCGGCCAGAAAATCATGTACAAACAAACGTCCCTGAGTTCCATTCAGTGCCATTCACCACTACAAACTATTATGATCCATATGTGGGTAAACTAAGCTACCACGAGGTGGGTGGACCAAGCTACCACGAGGTGGGTGAACCAAGCTACCACGAGGTGGGTGAACCAAGCTACCATGATGTGGGTGTACCAAACTATCTACTACCTAGAAAAATAACTCCTCCTCCACCATCCCCACCATACAATGCTGGCTATATTCCCACTTTCATCCCAACAAATGATGGCTTGCCTTCAAGCTACATAGACATGTCAACATCCAGGGAGGCCCCAGGTCAGAGGGTACCTCTAGGTGTTGCAATGGGATTAGGTGCTGGAGCACTAGCTGCTGGTGCTGTAATATTTGGTGATGACTTCATGTCAGGATTTGATGTTCCTCCGGCCCTAGGAGATTCTAGTTTCAACCTAGAAATGGATCCTCCTTTCTGAACGAGCATTTATCAGCTTTAAATAAATTATATTTGGCTGCATAAAGCCTACCAACAAACCCTACATTGCCATTGTATATGAGTTTTGGCGTTTGTAAGATTTTGTTTGGATAAATTTCTCGACAAAAACAAACTGGTAGTAGAAGAAAATAGGAAGGTACAACGCATTGAATTTTTCCCGAGCTAAAGTCTACTTATTCACTTTAGCTTCTAGAGAAGTTGAGTGAAAAGAGCTTCAATACAAGTTAAATACCCAGGTTGACTTCAATTTGTGGGAAAAACTTGATTCATTTTACCTCCTTATTTACTTTCTATAAATACATATGGAAAAATTTATCCAAAAAGAACTTGGGATAATTTAGTAAAAGAAAATGTTAAGTTTCATTGACGGGTGAAAAATCAAGTTATTTAATACTTCTCTTTGTAACTGAAAATATTTTCTCCGCGAGAACTTGTTCTTTTTTAATAGCTTCATGCTAATATTTTTAACACAAAAAAAAGGTAGCTTAATTTCAAAATCATGGATCATGAACAGCACCAGATCCTGTCTATTAATAATTTTTTTTGTATGTTAAATTAAAAAAAAACTGCAATTCAATAAATTGAATGGTTGGATCGAACTGCACTACCCGCAGTTATCCACATCCCAAAATCAAATATATAAATTAGAGATCACTTGTTGAATTATAAGTCCTTTTACATCCAAGAGACAACTATGCTAGGTTCAATGGGCAGTGATGATACAGATCATTCGAGCAATATAAATATATAATAATGTAAGACTGAGTTATACATTATTGTTTATAAGAATTTTTCCAATTGCTAGATAAAGACCATCGAGCTTGATGAATTTAACGAGTATCAATATGCCTCTAGTGAATCTTTTTCCGTCTGATCAAGCTGCATTAGCTTCTGCCTGTATTATATGAATCTTCTCTAGGCAGTAAAATGGGGAAGCTTGATGTAGGAAAATTCAATTTGCTCGTTGTAGATATTGTTCGCTTGAATCAGTAACTAATTTCCTTAGGAAGTTTTCAACAATTGAAATGAACTCCTCCACTTTTTCTTCATGGGGAAGATGGCCACATTGCTTAATTACTTCAAATGATGCTCCTGGTATGACTCGTGAAAGTCTCTCGGCATTCCATGAAGGGACTAGTCGGTCAGTATCACCAGTTACCATCAGAACTGCTCATTGAAACAACCATCACCAGTTATGCTCAATATTTAACTCACAGCTATCAAGCAGGTTTAGATTGCTACTTACTGGAAAGAGTTGCATCATTTAACATGAATTCAGGAACAATAACACAGAAATCCAAGGAAATGAACAGGTAACTATATAACAAACCAATAAATCAAAAACTATGTGCTAATTGGTTTTCCCAGTTTATTGAAAATCTCTAGTAACGATGATTTGCACTTAACAGCTATATTCTGTCAATTTAACATTTTAATGATCCAGATTTGTTCTTAAGAAAAAAGTATCCAGCGGATAGAACAGAGAATAAATAAGATGTGCGAGCCATTTAACCTCATTCCATCTTGGTTAATCTCTAATGAAAGCATAAACCAACTAACCTATTCAACGCTACTAAAACTTACTGCATATTGCCAATCTAAGATGTTTTCCATCTCTCCTAGTCTACTGCCTATTAGTAATCAGTTATTCAAAGATAAAGGCCAAAGGCAAGACAGTAAAGCAAATGAAAGTGGGTATATGCAGATTAGTGATATTACCAGGACAAGATATTTCATGAAGTCGTTTAGATAGTGATGGCTTTGTTTTATATTCCTCGTCCAGAAGCATTGCTGCAGTGTATTCCACCAGTGCCCGATCCCAATCCTTAGTCCTTAAAGGCTGCATTTAGTGCTAACAACCACATGAGAACTAACCATTTGAGTATGACAAAAAAAGAGATAAAATAACAAAATAGGATATCAGAGTGGGATTACCTTTGTATAACCACTAAGGACATGCTCAGAGACCTGCTTTGGGTTGTACCATGCGTTTCGAACTGCAGCAGTACCAAACTTAATAATTACCATTCTTACCTGAGGGTGATTTGAATAAAAGGGCCGTCAGTCCAGTAGGCTTGACTAATAAAAAATTATGTCAATTTAAAAGTACAGTCTAACCCTACACCGAAGCCAAAATATGCAAAAGAGTCATCCGACAAGAAACAAGTAACCAGATTTCGCTTAATATATATACATGAAATTTACATTTCAATCTATGAATTATTAAAATTGAAATTAGTGAAAAATGGAATTATATGGAATATCAACTCACTGACATGTTTTTCATAAGTTCAATGTAGTTGTGTTTGAGTCAACAATTCCTTGTTTCTCTTGGATTATTATTTTCCAATAATGATTGAACCAATAAGGTTGAGATAACTCAATTGAAAATTGGTCATGAACAAGTTTATTACCAGCATTATAGCAAGGGAAGAACGCAGGATAGCTGATAACAATTTCCTATAGAAAAAGTTGAAGATATCTATCATCCGCTTTATAGCCCCTGTTATTGCCTCTGCAATGTACTTGGTAATCTTGGACAACACCTTGTAAATTGCCAAAATTGGATTTTTTCTGATGGAACTGTTGTCTTCTTTTTTTCGGCTATCATGTCTTGATTGATTTTCTTTAACAGATTTTGGTGTAGAAAGTGGGGCAAAAATTGCTGGGGCAACTAGGATCAGAGCAGCAACACGTTCAGGAGCTTCAAAATATGCATTAACTGCTACAAGTGAACCAGCTGAGTGCCTGGCATGTCATTTTGGAGACAACTCAGATTCTAGAAAAGGGACTATGGTGCAGAGGCATATGAGAATACATTTCTTTACGTTGTTAATAACCCATAACCAATTATAAAGCACTAAGATCTGCTTCAGTGGACAAAGGCTAAGATTTAAAAAGGGAAGGAAAACATCACTAGAAAGTAGAAACATATGTAAATTTTATTTTCCTATGAGGGGCATTCATGCTCCTAACTTCTGATTCTGTATACCATGATTCCTACTTCAGAATGGTGAAAAGAAAAGCTGATTAATTTAACATTTATGATTTGAAAAATGAAAATCATATTAATGCAGCAACTCATGAATGTAAGATAATCAAACAAATACATATCGAGATGCAGGGATGCAACTAATATTCAGTTCTCATCTTATAAATACAGTGGGAAATATGCTTTACTTGTGTTTATGGAAACCACCTGATGCATCAGAAAAATAAAGCCACTTAACAAACAGAAGATAGAATATTTTCATACCCCACTAAAATTGCCTTCTCAGCATTTAACAATTGAATAAAGTGCAAGGTAGCAAGCACGGAAAATGCCATTGAGTATGCATTTAGAGGTTTTGTGTCTTCCATTTCTGAAGAAAGAGGCCTAGATAAATTTACCCTTGATGTCAATCCAAAGGCTGGCCTATCAAAAGCAAGAACTTTTGAACCAGTAACCCCTGCCAAAGGCTTCATAACTTGTTTCCATGAGAAAACGGAGGCTCCAAACCCATGTAACAGAATCATAGGATAACCAAGCTTCTTGATTTGATTTGAAACAGACCGACTCTGGAACATGCTTTCTGCTTGGGATTCAGCATCACATATCTTGTGGTGTATATGCACTCCTTTGAACTCACAAAAACAACTGTCTAGATCAGCTAAAAGCTTTGGATCCACTAACTCCTCCTGATCCATGCCAGATACCCCCTTATTCTTTTTTGCTCCAGCATCCAACAACTGCTCTGAAGACATGTGGTTCAATTCAACAAAAAGCACTCATGTAAGTAACCTAGAAAAAAAAATTTTGACTTTTGCATGATGAAAAGAAAAATAAAAGTTCCGATGACAATTTTTCATCCCTACCCCCGTTCTTTTCTCCTGGGACAAAACTGTTAGGGTTGGTTCCCAATCAAAATTGAAGTTCCACTTCTATAATATGAGTAAATATGTATTACCAAAGTTTGCACTAAGAGGGCCTTTGATATGTAGAATATTTTCACTTTCTTAAGTTGGGAATGTTAGTTTTCCACATTTCATTTATCATCTAAAAAATAACATTTTAGGAAACATGGTTTTCCAAGAATGCTTTTTATACTAGTTTCTCACCAAATGAGTAAGTGAGAATCTAACATTCCTAAGATAAAATTTTCCTTCTCCCAAACGCCCCTATAATGTAAATGCATGTTATCGAGTTGGAACTACAGTTCTCGTCTGGGAACAGCACCAACAATACCCATTATATTTTACCTAAGTTTTAGCCTTTCTCCTATAATGTTCTAGGAGCCAAACCAACATAAAAATCCAGAAAGTGAGAGGACTTATGTGGGCTGGCTCTTTTCTTCTTCTCTCCTATAATTCATCGACTATTCCCATCAAGTGAAAAAGAAAAAGAACAACCAATTCATGGAACTAGAAACAAACATTAAATTACTTTAAAGAAATAAGGAGATGGTGAAGTATTGAAGAGAAATATACCGGAATATTGAGCACCTGAACCGGAAACTGATGGAGCTGAAGAAGCAGAAGCAACGAATCGATTATTGTGATGAGAAGCAGAGTTAGGAAACATTAGAGGAGAAGGATGTTTATGAATATATGAAAGTGTAGAGTTATTGCAGCGATGGGATAAATAAAGAGTATGAGTAGGAGCAGGAGGGGTAAGAAAACCCAGTTCCCCACAAAACAACCCTACCCTCATCATCTCACCCAAATCGCTTCAACTTCTATCACCTTCTCTCGAAATTCAACGCAGCTTAAGCTTTGTGTTTTTGGTGCCAACAGATAGAATACAAGTACCAGCACAGAAATAACTAAACAAGAGTACAACAGCGCCACTTAAAGCTAATAGGTTATAACGAGAAACGTTTTATTTATATATTAATATTAAAATAAATTGCATTTTTTTCTTCTATATTTTTCGAAATATAATTTTATTTATTTTAAAAGGAAGATATTTAGTCTCCTATTTTTAAAATTCAAATTTTGATCTTATTATCAATTTAATATTTATTAATAGTTAAATTTTGACATTACATAATGATTTATCATCATTTAAATAATATAATAAAAATTAAAAATAATATAAAAAAATCATCATTTATATATATTTTTACGAGTGATTAATATTTATTTTATTAATAAAAATTTTATTTATATCAATTTTTTATTTTTAAATGTCTTGTTATTAAATATTATTTTAATTAAGTAAGAAAAAATGTTAAAATTTAACAATTAATAATGATGAGAAAACTAAAATTTCAAATTTTCAAAATTTTAAAATTAGAAGAAATAAATATCTTTATTTTTGTAGATTCATGATTTTTATTATTTTATACATTGATTTAAATTAATGAAACGAAGTATTAAATAGTTTTCAAATATTTTAAAAATTTACTAACTTGATATATGCATTAAAAACTTTAAATTCAATTATTGGATCGTTGAAATTTGATGTAAAATATGCTATTAAACGAATTAAATTTAAATATACTTACTCATAAAGTGAACGAATCCCTTTCATATAAAAGTTAAATTATTTCATTTCATTAATAAAAAAGAGAAATGGAGTACTCTCAAATACATAATACTCAACTTTGAATATGTTGACATATACTATGAATCTAGTCTAGTTGGTTGCTTGAATCTATAACTACTCCATGAATGAAATAAATTGTTTTATCCTTCAATTAGTATAAGGAATAAATGAGGCGTCCACATTTTTTAAATATCTTTACTCGTTAACTAATACTATTTAAGAGCACTTTACTATTATTAAAAAATTAAACTCGTACTTTCATTTTAGGCGAAATCTATCATGACTTTATGATTTACGTGGTTCATGGATACATCAATAAAATAAAATATCATTTTCATGTGATTTATTAGTAGAGAAGGAAAAAAAATATCATTATATATAAATAACTAAATTGAAAAGTTCAAATTTATTTGGTGATAAAATTTTATTAATATATTAATTTTATTTTCTGATGATAAATGATCATTTTGTTAAAAAAAATTATTAACCCCATTCGGCTATCTCAACCCTCCCTTCCACTTCCCCACTATCATTTTCATTTCTGACTTTGACTTTGACGATTAGTTAGACACCCTCTCTCATTTTTTTCATAACTTTTCCTTTCCAATCTGTTGATGGTCGAGGAACCTCAAAAATCAGCTCAAGCGACGTTGACCCTTTTCCCCCATCAACTGTCCAAGCTAAACTCAAATCCATAGAAAAAGTCAATAACCACCATCGAAGTTGAACCTAAACCTAAAAAGAAACCAACAAGCCCCGAAGAAGTAGAGAAAACCCATGAAGACAATATTTTCAAATGAGTTTCGTTCAAGGACGAGACCAACGTTGTTGTTGACCTCCCCTGCCCCCACCACAACCACAACTGCAGCCGCAACGTAGGACCACCCTCTTCACTCCACTACCTTCACTCCCTCGACCTTGCCCCCAACATTGCCTTCCCCTTCTTCCTCTCTTACGCTATCCTTGCCCTCCTCCACCATGCCCATATTAGCCACAACTTCATTATAAGGTTCGGTCTATCCTTCAAATGTCACACCACCCACTCCCTCATCACTACGTACTCGCGTAGGACCATTGATGGAATCATGCCTAGTAATGCAAGAGGTGATATATTGAAGGATCCAAGAGGAATGGGCTAAACATGAAGATTTGGGCTAGTTTAGAGCCCAACGAGCTAGTGGGCTTGGTGGGCCCAAGTTGCTTTCCACATGGGCCACACCTTGAGATCTTCATCTTGCTCTAATTGTATATATTATATTAGTATATGTTTCATATCTTTTGGTCTTGTATTTTGGACCACTTAGAATATGATTTTGGGCCTTAGGCTTCATGGGCCTAGTTTTGGGCTTTATGGGCCTTTGGGCTTTTGATACCCAATATTAGACTCATTTTGTTTCTTTTATTATTTCTTAGTATTTGTGATAGGTTGACCATTGTATTTAGGTCATTAGCATAGGATTATTGATGAAATACTAAATAGGTCAAGAAACTAAAATCTAGGTTTCATTTAGTAATCATTTAAGGTACATTTGAGTCACATGTTTTAAGCCAAGTGTGGTTGATCATGTGCATGTCTAAATGCACCCTAAATGCCTTCCAAATGACACTTAAATGCTTGGCACACCTAGTTACACGGAGCTACACATGACCACCAAGAATTTGAATTCAAATTCCATTTGAATTTTGAATTCTTGGCGCCGATTGTGAGCCTTTGGAACTTGGCGCCAATGAGCTTGTTTTAGGACCTATAAATAGCTTTTCATCCACTTGTTTATTCACTTTGATCATTTTTGAGAATTTTGAAAATTTCTTCAACACTTTTCTCTCTCAAAGTCACCCAAAGCTCCTTGCTTAGTTCTAGGAATTCTTTCACTTTTTTAGGGAAATCCGTGAGCAATCCTTTGCTCACCTAAGCTTGAATGCTTCCTTCTTTGGTTTGGATCAATCCGAATTCGAATCCTTCTTCATCTTCTTCTCCAGAATTGCAATCAAGGACGAAGATCTTGTGAGGAGCAAGGCTAGGGAGAATTCCCACCCCACTTCACCTTCGATACTGTAGGACACCCTCTCTACAACAGCCTCCCTCGCTAAAACTCATTCGAATCAAGCCCTCGAAGTCCTAACCTTGCTTTCGCTTTCATAAATCCACCTTACCTATGTCGAATTCCATGATGACAACAATGACCGACTAGTAATTATCATAGACGAATAAATTTGCAATAAATACCTCATCATTAGAATAAAGAATGCGTATTAGTCACTGAATTAAGTCCAAATAATTTTTAATAAAGATTTTTTAATAATTTTAAATAAAAATAAAAAATAAAAATAATTGTTATTCACTTATCCACCTATAACAATATGATAAATTGATGAATATGATAAATTTGCCAATCATTTTATATCTATTTTTATTTTATTATGATTATGTGATTAGTGAGTTGGATTAGTTAGGATAAAAATAAGAAGAAACAGTATAAGCTTATAGAAACACCGAAGCACGATAATGGAGGCACTGGTGTGCAGAAAACTGGGCGATCCAACGCTGGGTTTGGAAGACAACAATAGCCCAATAATTTTGTCAAGGAATCACCCAATTCCCCAACTCGATTCTCCCACTGCTGTAAGAGTCAGAATCAAAGCCACAAGCTTGAACTTCGCCAATTACTTGCAGATATTGGGAAAGTACCAAGAGAAATACCCTTTGCCATTCATCCCCGGCTCCGACTTTTCCGGCGTCGTCGACGCCGTTGGCCCCAAAGTTTCTGACTTTCGAGTCGGCGACCCCGTTTGCTCCTTCGCCGGCCTCGGTACCTTCGCTGAGTTCATCGTCGTTGATCAGTCCCATTTGTGAGTTTCCACTTCCTCTACCTTTTGACGATGCTTTCTAGAAAATTCTTAATGAAGTTGTTGCCTTTGAAGGTTTCGAGTGCCCCAAGGTTGTGATCTGGTTTCTGCTGGGGCACTTGCTGTGGCGTTTGGCACTTCTCACGTGGGGCTTGTACACAGGGCACAGTTGACATCAGGTCAGGTGTGTATCTGTGCTTTGAATTTGATTCTCTTCTTGTTGGGTATGTGTGGATGTGTGTGTTGTGGGAATGTTTATTGTACTGTCTCTTCTCTTTGTGTTGTGGAATTGTGTTGCAGGTGTTGCTGGTTTTGGGTGCTGCTGGAGGTGTGGGCCTTGCTGCTGTGCAAATTGGAAAAGCTTGTGGGGCCATTGTCATTGCTGTTGCAAGGTACTGAATTGTTTTTTTTTTTTCCCCCACTTTTTGGGTGGTAAATTGTCCTTTAGGTCTTTATGATCCGGTCAAGATTGGTTTTAGTCTTGTATCTTAAAATCGGTGGGAGGTTGGAGTAGTATGCAATGCAGAGTCTTAGGCTTTTGCCGTCATTGTAAATCCTACAAATAAAAAAAAATGGTGGTTTGGTCCTTGGATTTCTGAAATGTGGTGGATTTTGTTCCTCTTGAAGGCAAAATGAAGTATAGGGCCAAGAACAAAATCTACCACATTTCAGAAATACAAGGACCAAACCACCATTTTTTTTATTTGTAGGAATTACAATGACGGCAAAAGCCCAAGACTCTGTGCATTGCATATTACTCCAACCTCCCACCTAAGATTCTGTGTATTATACTCTAATCTAAGACTGTGCATACGACTCCAACCTAAGACTTTGAGGGGCTTGAAATACATTTTACCCTTAAATTTTTTATGCATGGGTTGTGTATGACACAATGGCATGATGACATTTTAATGATTATCCCTGTCTACTTGATGAGTTGAGCAATTTTTTATTAGGGGAGATGAAAAGGTGCAGCTCTTGAAATCTCTTGGTGTTGATCATGTGGTGGATCTGGGCAATGAAAATGTAACTCAGAGTGTCAAAGAGTTCCTTCAGGCCAGAAAGCTTAAGGGGATTGATGTCCTGTATGACCCGGTTGGAGGCAAGCTCACTAAAGAATCTCTGCGGCTTCTGAAGTGGGGAACGAAGATTCTCATAATTGGGTTTGCGAGTGGAGAAATTCCTGTCATCCCTGCTAACATTGCTCTTGTTAAGGTATGGTGGGAATGGCGTTTTAGACCATAAATTTATCTACTAGGAAGGAGGGTGTGATGTAGATATATATTATTATATGATATCTACTAAACTTATGAAACAAGCAACCACATGTATTATTGCAACTTTCTGAACTGTGCTTTCATTTTCTTTACCTTTGGACAATGAAACCGAAAATAACCTTGTTAAATACTACAGTTACTTTGTAATATGTATTTAAGGAAGCAAAAAACCTGCAGAAAAATAAAAAGCCACTATGATGCAGTATGTTTTTATTTTAGCACTAAACAACTGGTCAAAGGCCTGTGATTTGTGGCGTTTACCTGCAAAGTGTAACTTTAGGATACATGATCAGAATTAGGGTGAATTTAAGAAAATTATTATTTTTTAAGGTAATAGAAAAAGATGATTTAGGTATCTGAGGTCGGGGAATTCTATCTGGTGGGCTAATAGGTCTCAATCTCATTAAAGAAACAAGTCTACAAATATCAGACTACTTAGAGGATATGTACGAATAAGACCAAGCCACCTGAGAATATTTCATGCCTACATAAATTATATAGTCATAAACTTCAGACCAAAGCTAAATAACCATCCACTGATAAAAAATTATGAATCCAACATAAACTAAAGTTAAGTCCATAGTCCCATAAATATGACTTAATACTCGACTTTTGACCTTAATGTACAGTTGTACAATACCAAAGCCCCGTTGATTAAATCACTGAAACAATCTTTATGGATGAAAATACTACAGTTAGCCCTACCTATATCAACATCAGACCGAACTAGTAAGAACTTCAGATCTTTAAACGTATTTCTTGGGTTTTGCTGCCTGTTTCACATATTCTCATTAATTCTGCCATATCTGGTATAAATTGTTGATCATGATTTTGGGTTATGACTGCTTTTATTTAAAATTATTGTGGCAGAATTGGACTGTGCATGGCCTTTATTGGGGTAGCTATAAAATACACTGCCCAGGTGTTCTCGAAGATTCTATCAAGGAGCTACTTTCTTTGTTGGCAAGAGGATTGATTTCTATCTATATTTCTCATTCTTATCGCCTGTCAGAGGTCAGGAATTTCTTTGTCAAAACTGTTCTACTAATTTGTGTCTCTCTTTTCTCTAATCCTATACACATTCAAAGACTTGTATGTCTTTTAAAAGTATTGAGCTAGGATAAGTCAAGAGAGGACGTGAGATAAAGGATCTATCTATCTATCTATATATATATATATATATATATGGTTACATCCTTTTGCTTCGTTACCATTTGCAACCAAATTGGCAATTGCGAAGGTCCTCTTTAGAGGAAAACGTTGCAAGGCCAAGTGAAAGATCTCAGCATTTCTACTTGCACCTTATTTTCCTTCTTCTGATGTAGACACGGTAAAAAGCCAAAACATTGACTTTTTTCGTTCTTTATAGCAGCTACACCGTATAGCTTATTAGTATAGACATGTCACTTAGGTGGTGATGTGATGATGCTCATCAAGGAATCCAGCACATCAATGCAATGAAAATTGGAAACATTTTAGAGTAATATTTATAATATCAATAGAATGGACATTAGTTTTCTTGAGAGAATTTAACTGAAAAAAAAAAAAAAAAACCTTAAGCCTAGGCAATTAGATTTCTTTATTGTTCTGAAAAATTAGATAGCCGTTTGACACTCAATGTGGAAGATATGCATGGAAATATTGAAGATATAAATATTTGCTCATACTATATTGTTGAATGTTCATTTTCATGGGGTTCTGTTTTCATCAGGTTAAAATTAGCTAGTATGGTGGGAAAATAGGAAATGTTATGCATGTGTCTCTCTCTGTAATATAGGCTTGAAGATGACAAAAATATTTATTTAAATATCTGATTTACTCGTTATAATGTCTGTGACAAATAGTTAATTGTGTATATGATTAATTTTATATCCATCTTTTTAGTTTTGGTAAAATATTTTGTAGTTGATGTTGGTGTTTTTTACTGCATTATTCACTATTTTTTAGTTTAAATTTGATTCACTGCCTAATTGTGTGATTATGTAAAGCATTTTACACTATTAGATCACAATTAAATCATTTTCATACATTGGTTGAATTTACCATTTTGTATCACTTGCCTCATCGTCCATCTATGTGCTTCATAGATTTTCATTGGGGGTTAGTACTATCTGGTGTGAACAATTTCTTATCCTTGCAGGCCAACCTTGCCTTTTCTGCCATCAAAGATAGGAAAGTTATTGGAAAGGTGATGATTGTTTTTGATGAGAAACTTCCAAGATCTAAGCTGTGACCCTGCTAAAATTTGCGGTTCAATAATTTGTTGTGGACACGCAAGGGTTGAAGGTGATAAAATAAATAAATAAAGAGAGAGATGTTGGTTTAGGGAACAACTTAAAAGGAGCAATAATTGTCAAAAATTGTGTGCAAAAAATATTATCCTTGAAGCCCTCACATCGTTATGTAAAATCTTTTTTTTTTTTTTTTTGCTGAAATTGATTTTCTTCAAGTTTTCGTACCGCTTGAACATTTCTATAATATTTCAAAGCTGTTTGCTCTATTAAAGAGCGACTTTAATTTTACGTACTTCTATGATGCAGAAACTTTAGATGCCACCGGTCCTTTGACGTGTCATGCAATATTTGTGTAGTAATAATTTCCTATGCTAAAATGATTGGTGTTATGAATGACAAAGAGACTCAAATGAATGAGTCATCTAATCTTTATCTACCAGTTTCAATTTGATGACACTACCAAATTTGACTGCATCAAGGTTAGAGAGGTACATAAAGCATCACCACCATTGCTGTAACCATTATCGTATTCATTCCACCACCGAATTTCTCATTTCTCAAAAGTAAAATAAACTTTTTCCTTCACGAAGGAGGTACAATGAAGGGGGTCCTACATTCACTCCAAATACTGACAATATTCAAATAATATTGGTTAAAATATCAAAATTCTAAAGATATATACGATTTTTCTCTTACCCGTCAACTACCTAGTTACTACTAATCATCGCCAATTTACGGTCCAACACGACTCAGTTATTCTTTTAGGGATTACAAGCGATTGTGATAACTGATTTTAGAACATCCACAACAAGGGTTGCTCAAGCTAATTTAATAATAAAAAAAACACACTAAATTAAGATTCACTAATAGTTAGTTTAAGTGACAGTTGTATAAGGGACAATTATTTGTGCAACGGTTACTTAACCAAAAAAGAAATAATGTCTGATCTCATTAAAATCGCACTATGGCATTTGCTCTCCGTGGTCAGCAATTTGTCCCATGTATTTAGTTTTTGAGTTTTTTTCTTAAGATACTCAAACCACTCCCGAAATACGCATTTTATATATTTCGGAATGCGTGTTTCAAACACAATATATCATGTTCAGAATAAGTGTTCAGATAAAACATTCGGATTGTGTGTTCCCAACAAAATAAATTGCGTCTAGATTAAGTGTTCTGGACATGATATATTGTGTACAAATTGAGTTTCAGAACATATACTACCATTTAGAAGGAGTTTTTAATAGCTTGAAACACCCATTCGGGATAAACCAAACTAAAAAAAAAAAAAAAAACAATCCAAGAACGTTGATCCAAAATGTTATTTTTCCATTCCGGATTTGCTAATCCTGAAAATGTAGGGTGCAGTGGTGCACAAATTTACTTCCAGAATGGTTATTCCGGATTGTAATACAAAACCATAAATCTGAATTGGCTAATCTGAATCCACCAATTTGAAAGGAACCAAAAAACACAAAAGAAAAAAACACGCATAACTAAACACAAACCAAAACAATCGCGTAAATATATATAGAGGAGGGATCCGTTTATTTCATGAGTAAATCTACTTAAATTTATTCCGTTTAATAACTCATGTAACTTATATTTTACATTAAATTTTAACGATTTAATCGTTGAATTTAAAATTCTTAATACATAGATCAAATCTACAAATTTTTACCTTTGCTTTTTGGCTTGATTTTTTTTTTGCTGTTTGCGCATTTTGAGACACACTCTCCCAAACTTAGAACCTTGCTTGTCCTCAAGCAAAAGGTAATTAATCTAGCAGATAACAAGCAATGCATGTGAGTCAAATTCTACATCCTAGTTCGCTTGTATTTTCTTTTCACAAGCATGAACCTAAGATGAATCTCCAGTCACAATTATTGCAATAGAACATGACAAGGTGCAAACAAAGGTTTCAAAAGAGATCAAAGAGCTGAGAAGAGTAATGACTATCTGTGTATACATCCTCACTAGGAAAATGTTTCTCTCTATGCACACTAGTGTATCAGGGTGAGTGTTTCTCTCT